AAGAATCTTCACTGTCGCTTATAATCTAAAACTTTAAGTAGCTTTTCATGAGGTCTTGTACTTCAAAATTCGTATTTTTAAAAATTCATAATATGATTTTATTTAAAAAACTTGAATTTTGAATACTGTAAACTTAAATTTTTTAATGTCGAGAACTAAAAGTTTTTACAATATCCGTAAAAAAAGTTGTCGCAATAGCCCTTGTCTTCCTATAGAGATTTTTTTTTTCTCGATAATTTCATCAATACTTACAACCTAAGAACCGCGTTTTAACTTAATAAATAAGAAAACAGTTCCCATAATAATTATTTTTTTATTATTAACTAGGTACCATTTTTATTAATCATGATTCCGAATCGTTGAAAGTGTACTTACATGTGCCATCAAAATAACACATAAAATTATTGTGTGATTATTTACTTTTATGATAATTTTTATCGTAAGAACTGCGGTCATATTGGGACGCCTGACAGTTACAATAATTTTTACATCAATTTTGTAGCAATATTTATAATTAGGATGAAACTTGAACTTTTTATGTAATATTTCATAACATTATAAAAAGCACTTTAGAAAAAATTATCAAAAAAAACTCGTAGTAATTAATAACTCAATATTAATAAACAATCTTCTCCACTGTTACGTTAAATTTTTTTTGTTAGAAAATTATGACCTAAAGGTACTCTAAAGTATTGCAGTAAATTTTATAGTTGCATTATAGTTTTCAGAAGAATTTCATAGTAAGTAATGTATGTAATAGTTATTGTTACATGGAAACTATATCTCAACATTACCATAGTATTTGCAGTGAAAACTTAAGTAACTCTTTTCTTATGTGTGCACATACTGAATTATATGAGCTACTCGTAAAAAATCTCACTTACATTTTTTCATGATTTCTGAATGCTTTTGTCAACAACAACAAATATATATATATATATATTTTTTTACATTCTTGAGTTTTCAATTATCGATAGAGCTACGCGGTTGTGTCTTAAACACACTGCATTTAATAAAAAAAAAAAAAAAGGTATGGCCCAGATTCTAAGCGAATGCGACATAATGGCCAAAGTATGATAATATTTTGACTAATGGCCCAGTAATCGTGCGTTATTGTACATATAGTATTGAGCGTAACAACGCCAGTATCTTTATATTCTGGCGTCATTTACTTACAGTCGACTAATTAGTAATATTTTTACTCGGCCCAGTGGTAATTGTCTTTCGTTAAAAATACGTATTTACAGAAAGCATTAAAAAATTGTCAAACACCCAAATGTGCCGGCATATCTCGACAACTACGCAATCGTGTGAAGCACTTAAACTTTAAATTTAGACGTGGGAGTAGTGTACGACACTCCAACAATCCAATACTGTTGTTTTACATCCTCGATTGTGCGTATACCCAACAGTGACCTGTCTAGGATGGAACGGCTGTGGGTGATTGCCGACCTACTTCTACTGGTGGTAATAATATTCGGGAACTTCATAACCATCCTGGCGGTAAGACTGAGCCGCAAAATATTCAGCGTCACGTCGAACCACCTGATCCTCAGTCTCGCCATTGCTGACCTGCTCACCGGTTTCACGGTGCTGTACCACACGTGCTTTCACATCTTTCCGCATCTCCAATACAACAAGTACACATGTTTGACCAAGTGAGCAGAAACAATTATTCGTTTCCACTAGGGCTTCGTATGAGTCGAGAAAAGACAACATTTGGACAATTGTAAATAATCTTAAAAACATTAATTATTGTCTTGGTTTTGGCACATGAAGTCTTGTGTTGTTTTGATCTTGTCATTCTATTTTTTAATCATTGAAGCCATAGATATTCGTTATAAAGCAACAGGAAGGCGACTAAATTTGATATTTGTGGAAATACTTATATTGTAGTGGTATTAAAATTATTAAGAAATATTATTGTACAATAAGTAAGCTCAAGAATATTATTGAAAAACCAAAATTCTTGAGGAAATTACTCTTGGTATTGTCTTGAAATTTTAAGCTGCAGTATCTTGTCTTGATGTTGTCTTGAAATTCGAAACAATACAAGACAATATCAAGATCACTCGTGAAGCCCTAGTTTCCACCGATATATGGCACCATTTTTTAAGTACATCTACAATCTCTTTCGCGTATGTGTTTTTTCAGGTACTTCACTCAATTCGGTTCCAGCTTCGCGAGCTGCTACAACGTCGTGGCGATAGCCGTGGATCGGTTCGTCGCGATCATATATCCGCTTTATTACCCGCAGTATATGACCAAAAATGT